TAAGGAGGGGGGGGGGGGGAAATCGAATATTTATGAGTCTATCCAAAAACGTCCTAGAAACGGGAAAGAAGTGGCTGGAGGTACCAGGGGGAGAATGGCCGAATCCCTGGAGTGGACGGGGCTCGCCAGATGGAGATGACGATTTTATGTTATGGGCAACCCCTGATGGCATGGAGCATTCCCTAACCAAGCACTATCCGAGAAAGCAAGCTCCACTCTTTTCAGATCGGACAGTGCTCTCTGGAATTGCTTTCTATTCGTTCTGAAGGAGGTGGTATCGGAGTAAATTAGCGTCCTCATAAAACCAGTGAGTTTATGATTAGACCGGAGGCCCTAGATTGGTATGCTTCCTTAGCGACTTTCTGTATCATCCCCTGACCAAGCACTATCCGAGGAAGTCATTATTAGAATGAAACAGTTTCATGTTATATTCATCGAAAATAAATCCCTGTTTGTTTGTACCAATCTTTGTCCCTACTACATAACAAGGAGGATGCCCGGCGTAGCCTGGCATTACATAAGAAGGAGGAGAGCCCGGCGTTAGCTGGGCGATCCGACTGGTAGATAAATAAAACAAAATATACAACTGTAGACCACTTGTGGACTGCAGCGTCGTCAATGGCTGCTTTCATAGTCCACGACCAGTCGTGCCGCGCAACTGGGGACCCATCTCGCGAGCGACTGGTCGCTCGATCTGCTCGGGACCATCCTCGGCGGCACCCATAACTAGCGCGACCTTCTCGACCGATCGAGCGGTGGCGCGATCAGTCGAGCGACCAGTCCTCGCGCGATGGGTCCGCGACCGGTCGCGCGGCTAGTCATTCGCAAAATCGTGGACTATGAAAGATGCCAATGGGTTAAGGATCCTCCATAGTTCTAACTACAACCTAGTAGCGTTTATGTTTACAGGAATAGAAACTAACGAACAACATCCAATGGAGAAATATAGCCCATTTCAGTCGTCTCTGAAAGCAAGCAGAAACTAGTGACGACTTCTCATCCGCAAAACGAATTCATCAATCTCATTCCCACGCGATCTTTTATTAGAGTTTATTTTCATTCCTATTCAATTAGAAACGAAAGAATTTTTCATTTCTATTCAATTAGAAATGAAGCGTGGAGTTCTATGACGTACATTGATGCATAATACCAATGCTCACGGGTCCGATGATCTGTTCAGAAGCACTAGAGCCACGGCAAAAGCATCAAAAGTTACTTAAAGGCATAGTTCCCGATAATTTTGAGGTACCCTTCTTGGCTTGAAAAGCGGATGTGTTAATCTAGAGGAGTTCATCGGTTGCGAAGAAAGCAAGAAAAGCCGCCTAGTTTAGGCTTTTCAAAAGTAGTGCAAGTGGAGTTTGTACGAGATCACCGCGACAGGAATGGCATGTAAGGGGTTTGTGGACGAGATTTACCTGCGTCCATAATGCAAAGAGCCCACTACATCAAATCATAACTGTCCAGAATTGCCTTTCGCTGTCGCTGTGGGTCATGACAAGCTGTTTGAACTTCCTACATTGGTTCCCTTACGAATGGTGCAGCCTCTACGAACCCGTTGAAACTCGTCCACTAGGGGGTGTGGCTTCACTCGGTACAACCTCTGGTCCCTTACTGTACCCTACCCAGAACGTTGTTAGCCCTTATAATGACAGGTACAGTATAGGGGGAGCACTTAGGAACCATATTTATAGTGAACTGTGTCTTCAAAGTAAAGTTGTGCTCTGCCGCTTTGGTACTCGTGTTCTACCGTTCTATTACACCAACCAGCATAGTATGACCTCTGCGCTACCCCCAATTTCCTCAAATCAGAAAATCCATGGTCGACTTCACTTTATTCTTAACATGATTATATTTAGCTTATATAAATAAGTTTAGGTTTTTTTGAAAGTCGCGGATGGGGAGCCAAAGTATTTCTCCACCTTCTACTGTCAGAT